ATCGTCGTCGCAGCCGTAATGCATATAGTAGTTTATTAATTAGGTATCGTCATCGTCGTCGCAGCCGTAATGCATATAGTAGTTTATTAATTAGGTATCGTCATCGTCGTCGCAGCCGTAATGCATATAGTAGTTTATTAATTAGGTATCGTCATCGTCGCCGCAGCCGTTTGCTACTGCTGACCGTGATGTCGTGTCGAGTGTTTTATTATTGATTTTAGGTGCTATCAGGCAAGGCTGCTGCTGCTGCTGCTGCTGTTGCTGCTGTTGCTGCTGTTGCTTGTTGCTCGTGCGCGCGTGCTGGTGTGTGTGTGTGTGTGTGTGTGTGTGTGTGTGTGTGTGTGTGTATGTGCGTGCGCCGTGCGTGTGGCACCAACGTTGTTATGTGTGTGTGGGCGTGTGTATGGTGGTGTTGCCGTGTGGTATGTGCGCCGCGCGTGATGCTGTGTGCGTGTGTGTGTGTATGTGTGTGCGTGTGCTCCGTGTTATTGTGCGCGTTGGTGTCGTGTGTTGTGCGTGTGTATGTTGCGCGCGTGAGTGTGTGTGTGTGTGTGCTATGTTGTGTATGCGCGCACGCGGCGTGTGTGTGTGTGTGTGTGTCGTGTGTGTGTGTGTGTGGTATGTGCGTGGCGCGCGCGCGTGTGTGTGCCTGCTCATGTCCATGTGTGTGTATGTGCGCGCCGTGTGTGTGTGCGTGGTGTGTGGTGAGTGTGTGTGTGTGTGGCTGGGCTGTGTTGTTTGGTGTGTGTGCTATGTGCGCGCGTCGTGTGTGCGCGCGTGTGTTGTGTATGTGTTGGCTGACGAGTGTAACATTCAAGTAGCAACCCTATATAAAACCTCATTCACGTTGACTCATTATTAGAGAAATATCAAACGCGACAGCTCGCACCACCTAGACGGTCCCCGAGTCGCAAAATCACCGGCATGAATTGCCCCCGCGACGACCTCGTTAGGCGCAGTCCGGAACAGTCTAGCCGGAATATGCGCGACTGCGCATCGATCCGAGAAGAGGAGAGAGAGGGGGAGGAGGGGATCAGAAAGAGGAAGAAGAGGAGAGGAGGAGGGGGGGGGAGGGCAGCGAGGAGCGTGAAGGAGAGGTAGGACAAGTGAAATGTGCCCATCACGATTCTCCGTGTTGCGCGTGTGCGTGTTCGCTGTGCGTGTGCGTGTGGTGTGCGTGTGGTTGTCCACCCGTGTTCGTGTGCCTTAACATGCGTTGTGGCGTGTTCGTCGTTCGTTGTTCGTGTTCGTGTGCGTTGCTGCGTGTGCGCTGCGGCGCTGCGCGCGCGCGTGTGTGTGTAGTGGTATTACGCGTGCGCAGCGTGTGTGCGTGTGCGCCGTGCGTTGTTGTGCCGCGCGCGGGTGTGTGCGCGCGCGTGTGTGTGTGTTGTGTGTGTGTGTTGTGTGTGCCTTGTGGGTGTGCGCGCGACGGCGATCGTGTGCGTGTGTGCGCGTGTGATGTTGTCGTGCGCGCCGCGTGTGTGCGTGTGGGCGCGTGTGTGCGTCGTGCGATGTGCCCCGGATATATGTGCGCTGCGCGTGTCGTGTGCTGCGCGCGCGCTCCGTGTGTGGGGCTGTGTGTGTGTGTGTCGTGCCGCGCCGGTGTGTGCGTGGTGTGCAGCGTGTATGGCGCGCCGCGTTGGTCGTGCGCCGCGCGATGCACTAATCACTGCTGTACGCAACACGCCATGTTTTAACCCGGCTGTTAACTTGTGCTGTTCCTCTGATAGCGTCAGCACTCAGCTGTGAGTCCTGTCACGTACCTTGCCCTCCTCCCCGCCGCCGCCGTTCTCCCCCCGCCGCGCCCTCCCCTCCGTCTCTCCGATCGTCTCCCGTAGTGCGTCATGCCGCGGCGCGTCTGCACAGCAGGCTATAAGCTGGTTATTAATTAGATGGCTAATCTAACGAATGATTAAAGACTGTTGTAGCGCGCGGCGTTGCTACGATGTTCACCACCTGGCTGATACTTGGTTCACCTTGCGCAGAGGGCGCATGTTGCTGCTCGTAGGTGGTTAAAATGGCCGGCCAGGCGCAGCGCCCCTGTAGGCGTCGCGTGGCGGAGAGAGGGGAGCAGGAAGAGGGGGAGGGAGGAGGAGGAGGAGGAGGAGGAGGAGGAGAGGAGGAGGAGAAAGCGAGGCAGAAAAGAGGAGGAGGTAAGGAGGGGATGAGGGAGAGAGGAGGGAGGAGGATGAGGACTGAGGGGGAGGAAAATGAGGGAGAAGCGAGAAGGAGGACGGGAGGAGGAGGATGAGGAGGGGGCGAAGCCAGGTCGGCGGAGGGCGCGCGTGCAGCAGAGTGCCGTGACGGAATAAGAGGGAAGCGGCGGAGACACCATTGATCATGTGCCATAATGACAACCATCATCATTGCACACGAGATAAAGCTGTAGCCCTCAAACTAATTACTCACACGCTAACTATGTATGTATGCATATATTTATAGTACATTCATAGTGTGGCTGTGAGATACTATATTTATATGTGTGTGTGTGTGTGTGTGTGTGGCGATGTGTGTGGTGTTGTGTGTGATGCTGTGTGTGTGTGTGTGTGACTGTGGTGCTCGTGTGCGTGTGCGTGGTGATCCACCGTAGTGGCGCGCGCGCGTGTGTGTGTTGAATTTTTGCTCCTGCCCGCTCTGGTACGATTTACCTGATATTAAGTCCCATCTATGCTGCCCTATTTTTTATGCTATGTTTATGGGCTGGCACGCTATAGTTACTTGTTATTACGTGTCATGATGTAGTTTGCATGCCTTAGTTGACGTGTGTTTATACTTGTATGGATGTAGTTGCATGCTATAGTTACGTGTTATCTTGTATGATGTAGTTGCATGCTATATTACGTGTTTTATACTTGTTATGATGTGTTGCACCATGCTATAGTTACGTGTTATACGTGTATGATGTAGTTGCATGCTATAGTTACGTGTTATACGTGTATGATGTAGCTGCATGCTATAGTTACGTGTTATACGTGTATGATGTAGTTGCATGCTATAGTTACGTGTTATACGTGTATGATGCAGCTGCATGCTATAGTTACGTGTTATACGTGTATGATGTAGTTACATGCTATAGTTACGTGTTATACGTGTATGATGTAGTTGCATGCTATAGTTACGTGTTATACGTGTATGATGTAGCTGCATGCTATAGTTACGTGTTATACTTGTATGATGTAGCTGCATGCTATAGTTACGTGTTATACTTGTATGATGTAGTTGCATGCTATAGTTACGTGTTATACTTGTATGATGTAGTTGCATGCTATAGTTACGTGTTATACTTGTATGATGTAGTTGCATGCTATAGTTACGTGTTATACTCATGTATATAGTTATCTGCTAATTTGGTGTCAGTACTTCTTGTAAGCGGACTAGCGCGTGGTCAGCACGGCATAACAAACTTACTTATTTTATATAGTCGCCTGAGAATTTCGCTCCTTTTCCATTCAAGTAACGCGTATCTCTCTCGCTTGCTCGCGCCCTCCCTCTCTTATGTCTCTCTAGCTCTCTCTCTCTCTCTCTCTCTACGTCTCTCTTCTACTCTCTCTCTCTCTCTCTCTCTCTCTCTCTTCTCACTCTCCTCTTCTTTTCTCTCCCTTCCTATCTCCTCGCTCTCTATACTCTCTGCTCTCTCTATCTCTCTCTTCTCTCTCTCTCTCTCTTCTTCTCTATCTCTCGGCTCTCTATCATTCTCTCGCTCTCTCATATCTCCTCTCTCTCTACTCTCTCTCTTCCTCTCCTCTACTCTCTCTCTCTCCTCTCCCTCTCTCTCTCATCTCTTTCTCTTTACTCTGCTCTCTCTCTTTCTCTCCCTCTCTCTATCTCTCGCTCTTTCTATCATCTCTCGCCTCTCTATTCTCTCTCTCTCTCTCTCTATTCCTCGCTCTTATCTCTCTCTCGCTCTCTCTATTCTTCTCTCTCTCTCCTCCCCTCTCTCTCTCTCTCTTCTCTTCTCTCTCTCCTCTCTTCTTTCTCTCTCTCCTCTTGGCTCTCTCTATCTATCTCTCCGGCGACTCTCCGCCCGCCCGCTCACCTGAGCATACGCCGCCGTGACGTCAGCGCGATGACGTCAGCTGGCTATCCACAGCGGCAGCGGATGCGCGTGTATAAATAACGCTTAATAAATAAATGCACGGCAGCGGACGGTCGCGGCGGGAGAGGCGGCGGTGACGGCAGTTATATAGAGTGCGACGGGCGCGGCGGGGGGAGGGGGAAGGGAGAGGAGGGAGAGGAGGGGAGGGAGGCTGTGGTGGAGGTGGCAGTAATAGATATGGAGCGCACGGGGGAGTAGAGCGTTCCCAATGCTGCTGCTGCTGATGCTGCGAGCGTGCGTTGCAAAAACGTTATTGTAGCGTTATCGTTTTTAATAACGACCCCCCCCCATCTAATGGTCGGCATTGTCGCAGCGCGCATGCGCAGACGCGGTGACTGAGCAGTACAGCAGAGCGTTTATACATCGTGTGCTTGAGTGCAATTCCTCCCTGTGTGTGTGTGGGGGGGGTGTGTGTGTGTGTGGGGTGGGGGGGGTGTATGTGTGTGTGTGTGTGTGTGTGTGTGTGTGTGTGTGTGTGTGTGTGTGTGTGTGTGTTGTGGTGTGTGTTGACGTTGCGTGGTGTGTATGTCTGTATGTGTGTGTGTAGTGTGTGTATGTCGTGGTGTGTGGTGTTGTGCGCGCGTGTGAGTGTAGCTTCCATTTAGGATCATTAGCGTCCTATGGGTAAATAGCGTGTATGCTGTTATTACTAGCCCGCTAATGACCAGGCGTGAATAAGGCGAGTGGTGTTGTGCGGACGGAAGGAGAGGTATACGTATCGGCAACACATCGCTCATGAATAGATACTACGAAGATGCTGCTCAGGGATGCGGAGGCAGAAGATGCGGGCAGGGATGCGGGCAGGGATGCGGACAGGCGATCCGGGCGGTTAATGCATGCAGGGATGCTGCAGTGATGCTGCAGGGATGTGCGGTGCTGCAGGGATACCTGCAGGGATTGCGACATGAATGCTGCGGGATGCTGCACGGCGATTTGCTTGCAGGGATGCGGGCAGGGATGCTTGCAGGGCATGCCTGCACGGGACTGCTGCAAGGATGCTGAGGCGATGCTGCAGGGATGCTGTCAGGGAGCTGTGGGGATGCGCGGGGGGATGCTGCAGGGAGGCTGCAGGATACTGCAGGGACTGCGACATGATGGCTGCGGGATGCTGCAGGCGATGCTGCAGGGATGCTGCAAGGATGCTTGCAGGGATGCTGCATGGGATGCTAGCCAGGGATGCTGCAGGGGATGCTGCTGGGGATGCTGCAGGGGATGCTCGCAGGGCATGCTGCAGGGAAAATTCATGCAAGGGCATGCTGCAGGGATGCTGGAGGGATGCCTGCCAGGAATTGCTGCAGGGAGGATGCGGGGATGCTGACAGGGATGCTGCAGGGGATGTGGCAAGGATGCGGACAGGGATGCAGGCAGCTTGAATGCTTGGAGGGATGCGGGCGGGATTGCTTGCCCTGGATGCCATTTGCAGGGAGATGCTGCGGGGATGCTGCGGGGATGCTGCAGGGATGCGGCAGGGATGCCATGCAGCGAATTGCTGCGGTGGATGCGTGCAGGGATGCCTGCAGGGATGCTGCAGGAATTGCTCGCGGCGATTGCTGCAGGGATGCCTGCGGAGATGCTGCAGGGATTGCTGACAGGGATGCTGCAGGAGGATGCTGCAGGGATGCTGCGGGGATGCTGCAGCGGATGCTGCAGGAATGCCTGCAGGATGCTGCAGGAGGCATGTGTAGCGGGATGCTGTGGGGGATGCATGCAGGACGATGCTGCAGGGATGCTAGCACGGGATGCTGCAGGAGTGCTGCAGGGGATGGCTGCGGGATGCTGCAAGCGGATGCCTGCAGGGATGCTGCAGGCGATGCTGCAGGGGATGCTGCCCAGGGTGCTGAAGAATGCTGCGGGGATGCTGCAGGGATGCTCAGGGATGCTGCAGCGATGCTGTATGGATGCTGCAGGGAATAGCTGCAGGATGCTCAGGGATGCTGCAGGATGCTGCGGGGATGCTTGACGGACGACATGCTGCAGGGCATGCGGCAGGGATGCGGACAAGGGATTGCTTGCAGGGATGCTCGGGATGCTGCAGGCCCATGCTGCCGGGGGATGCGGGCTAGGCGATGCTGCAGGGATGCTGCTAGGGATGCTGGGGGACTGCTGCAGGGATGCTCAGCAGGGTGCGGACAGGCAAGATGCTGAGGATTCGTCGCCCACGCATCATCCGCGGTGCCACGGTCCACCCAATGACCGGCCGTACAAGATCGGGCTATTGTTTAGGACTGCCCCTAACATGCGGTGCGCTGGCTTGCACCACTGTAGTTTCCGAGGCTGCGGCGTTGCACAGTTGCCAGTCTATCTGTGAAGCGGGGGAGGAGAGCGAGAGAGGAGAGGTCGAGGAACGGATGAGGGGGGAGGACGGAGCTGTGGCGTTGGCAGGCAGTGCTGCTCCGGCGTGATTCACAGTGATCGATACGGCGAAAAAATAGGTAATTAATACGAAACGACTAAACATATAATTGTGGCAAATATCGGAGGACCGTGCTGGTGCGTACGCTGGCGCGGTGCACAACACGACACGCACGCACGAACACGCGTGGCAGCGCACACACACACACACAAACACCGCAGCACACACACGCACACACACACACACACACACACACACAACACACACATACCAACACGGCCGCGCGCGTGGGCGGGTGGTGAGGCACATGCGTTAGGCGGGGCGGCGGGACAGGGGACGCGTCGTTGGTAAGGGGCGGCGGCGGGGGGAGGGGTCGTGGTAAGGGCGGCGGCGGGGGGAGGGTGGGATTCTGCATTACATCATCGTTCATCGCCGCATTTCCGATACGTTCGCATTCAGCCGTGATTTCTGTAGTCTGCCGCGTACGTTTCTCGGCCAATGCCTTCTTCATTAGTAACGGAGACGATGGCGACGGGCTGGCCGCGTGATGCGTCTTTCTTTCTCTGTAGCTATGTGCCGGCAATGGCATGTGTCTCTACGGGTTTGCACGGTTACATCCATTCCTGCTCACGCGTTTGTTTCGTAGTGCGTGTGTTTCTCATAGCGTGTGTTTCTTAGTGCGTGTGTTTCTTAGTGCGTGTGTTTCTTAGTGCGTGTGTTTCTTAGTGCGTGTGTTTCTTAGTGCGTGTGTTTCTTAGTGCGTGTGTTTCTTAGCGCGTGTTTCTTAGTGCGTGTGTTTCTCATAGCGTGTGTTTCTTAGTTCGTGTGTTTCTTAGTGCGTGTGTTTCTCATAGCGTNGGACAGGGATGCTGAGGATTCGTGCCCACCGCATCAGTCCGCGGTGCCACGGTCCACCCATGACACGGCCGTACAAAGATCGGCTATTCGTTTAGACTGCCCCCTAACATCGGTGCGCTGGCTTGCCACACTGTAGTTCGGGCTGCGGCGTTGCCACAGTGCCAGTCTATCTGTGAAGCGGGGAGAGAGCGAGAGAGGGAGAGGGGGAGAACGGGAGAGGGGGAGACGAGCTGTGTGCGTTGCAGGCAGGCTGCCCGCGTGATCACGTGATCGATACGGCGACAAAATAGGTAATTAAACGAAACGACTAAACATATAATGTGTGGCAAATACTCGGAGGACCGTGTGGTGCGTACGTGGCGCGGTGCACACACGCACGCACGCACGCACGCACGCACGCACGCATGCCTGCACGCACACACACACACACACGCGTGCACGCACACACACACACACACACGCACACACACGCGCGCGCGCACACACACACACACGCACACACACGCACGCACGCGTGCACGCACACACACACACACGCACGCAC